TGGGGTGGTTGCGCTGCATCAACATTTTCTTGTGGTTCTCTTTGACTAGATGTAAGAATGCCATAGCAGGAGATATTCTACCTGTGGGTTGTGGGTGATTGATTTTGTGAGAAATCTCAATGATTAGGAAGTTAGATGAGTATTTGAGGCTTCTCCGTCATTTTCCGATAAAACATTTCTAGCTCCACCTGGCTCAACTTGATCTCCATATGCTAATTTTCATTGGAGAAGATTTGGAAGCTTAATGCCAACTTCAAAGTTGCTATCTTTGCTTGGGAGTGGGATGGTTGATAATTCTCACTGTTGATAATATCAGGAAATGGGAAAGATCGGTGTGAATGTGTACTACTTGTGCAAGAGACTAGTTGAATATTGGAACCACCTCCTTTCGTGGTGTCCATTTTCTTATTGAATTTGATGTATTGCCCTTGAATTCTAAAGGTTGAGTTTGATGAAGATGGATTTGGTATTTGAAGAATTTTGGGCGTCAATCATTTCTCTTAGTCCCCTGGCTACCTTGTGGGATTGCAACAAGAGGAAAAAAAGGGTCTTTGAGGGCAGTGACTCTCCTCTTTCTTGAGTTAAAGATCTTTGGTTCCAAAATCTGTATGTGTTGTTCTAGGGGTATCCTATTTTCTTTTTGAGGGATCTGATGGATATATTAATTGGTATGCCTTGCTACTAATACAAATTCTTTTTCCTCTTAAAATTTATTAGTTCATTAATAATTTTAAGAAATTATACTTTTATTTAATTAATTAGCTTTTATATTTTTGGAAAATTAGTTATTGCTTAATTATTAAGTTATCAAATAATTAACTATAGTCTAACTTTATTTCATAATTTACAATTATGTGATCTGAAACTTTAAATTCTAAGAGAGCGTACTCATAATTTAAAATTATGAGATCAAAGGATTCTCTCTAATGAGCCCAAAATCCTAATTCTACTTACTCAATCTTAGTAAGCTGATGACCTGATCCAAAATCTGGGACCTTAACAGCAGATTAAAATTTTTACACTCGAAATAATTTTCTACAAAGAAGCAGATCCTATTTTCTATAACTAAGCATGCCGTCCTATATGAGTTCTTGATGCTTGACTTTAATTTGGGATGTATATTTTTGTTGATATTATTGGGCCAGGAGACATTAGCCAAATGTCAATGTTGTTTAGTTTCTTTAGATTGTCTTGGATATGGGACTTTTGTTCAGTTAAAATGTGTGCTGCTAAAATTTAACACATATATTCTCTATTCTCTTTTATTTCTCTTCTCTCTCTCTCGCTATCTGTCTCTCTTTCACTCTCACGCACAAGCATTGGCACATACACAAACACAGCACATACACAAACACAGAAATGCATTCTTGCTCATTAAAGATGTGATTTTTTTAATAGTATTATGACAATATTTACTGTTGAAAAATTGTGCAATCAGAGTTTATGATAATGTTATTTTGATCAGGTGAATTTCAATTTAGCTTACCTAAGACTTTCCGTTTTGCAGATGGTCTATGTTTTATTCGTTTACAACAAGAAGGAGAAGCACCACAGAATCACGGTATATTGTCTTTGCTTGTATCTAATATGAATAGTAGAAGAAGATATGGTCTTCGATTCCATTTTAGTAGTGAGCATTTGGTTGTGTGGTTAAAGATGTTTGGTATATAATGATGTTAGCTTTATTTGAGGACTTTGATTTTGTTTCAGTAATATTGATGAATTGCAATATTGTATAGCTGTGAGCATTTGGTTTTGCTTTCAAGTTCAGTGCTATTATTTGTTGCTTTTGCCCATGTTTGGATTTTCTTCTCAGTCTTAACCATGGACTTTTAACCCATGCTCATTTTAGAAAGAAATTGTTTTTTGTTTTTGTTTCCATTGAGAATAGCTTGAAACTTGGTTTTTGATGTCAAGTAAAAATGCTTTTTAAGAATACAAACTTGCAACTGCATAAATTACAAAATAAAGAAGATATTCATTTCAACCAGAAAGCTATAATGGTAGAGAGTTCACGTTCCTATGTTCTTGAGTTCAAATAAAATCAATTTGCAGGAACCTGCTGCTGTCTAGTGCACAATGAAAAT